CTGTGTTTCTGCACCTTGTTGCTCAGGTCTACAAGCAAAAGATTTACATGGCCATGTATGGTGGACTGAGCCTCAAGAGCACATGCTTGTGGTCCAACTCATCACACATAGCCTTTCTTGATCGGGGCCCCCCATCGAGGGTACCTGGTCTGATTGAGATGTGGACATGTGAAGGTGTTTTCCAGTAAGCAATACTGGGCATGTGCAGGTATACATGCATTGTCATCCTGTACAGGCACAGCGAGCTGCCTTGGTTCCAGTGGCGAAGTACTATGTGGATGGCAAAGGAGTCCGTAGGTCTACTGGCAAGAAGAAGGAACTTCGACAGAGCCAGAGCCGGTCTCAGCTGATGGAGATGCATGGTAGAGAAAGAGTGAACATTTGGTGTTTGCAGCTGGTGGCCATGTGTCGAGGACGTACACGCCAGCCTTCGGGAATGCCTTGGCGGACATCCTGCCCACCATGCATGAAGGCATTCGGGGCCTACGTATGGCAAATGTATCTGACCTGAATTGTCCTATTTCAACATACAGTCCTCACAGTGATACAGTGATACTGTGAAAACCTCGGCACGGTCAAACTGTCTTCACATGCACGACATCAGGTATACAAACAGGTGCCAAGTTGATGTGTATATGCATTGTATACACATCATGTGGCATGCATATGAAGTTTGTATGTCTTTATAAATAATATATATATATATATATATATATATGCCAGTATACCATGTCTATATCTATATAGGCATGTATTAAGACTTTCTCTGCACAGGTGGCACTCATAAAGCTCCAATTTGTTGCACACACACCCATGTCCAGATACCTTGTGCATTCCGCACAACTCCTCGAAGTCTGTCTACAGAGGTGTGTATATATATATATATGCTATGTGGATTCTAGATGTAAATCCCTTGCAATTCCCAACCACTTGCTGCTGAGGATGATGCTGGCATTCGGGTCACCAACTTGCTCGTTGCCATGTCAGCAGACCAGCAACTCTGGGAGGAGGCTGATATGGTCAGTGTGGTGCGGTATTTACGTGGTGCCTCATCACTAGCAGTTCCAGCTGAGATCAAGAGTGTGCTGAGCATGTGATTGTTTGAGGCAATTAAAATGCATTCTTTCTTCTGCAAGCAGGACTGATGCTAGCATGTGCAATTGGCAATGGCCGAAAAAACATCTGCAGCCAGAAGATGATCCGTCAAGATGTCCAAGCATGACCAATATGCTGCTGCTTTTGTAGCTATATGATACTGTAAACAAGGGTTTTTACTTGTTACCTAGATAAGGTGGTGACGTGCGGGCAAAAATGGTTTCCGGAAACCTGTTTTTCCCGCAGCCCTCCCGGAAAAGCATGTAAACACAAAAAAAATTAAGAAAAAAAACGCAACAGAAATAAACGCAACGCGCCAGGAAACCAGAAACTTTGCACAGGAAACCAATTTCTGCAACGCATTTGCACGCATTTTCAGCGTGCAGAAAATGTCTCAGCAACGAGGGTGAAAAAACCAGTTTAGCCCGCATTCCAACATACAACAGATTGTATTTCGAAAGAACAGCACGATGCTCAATCAACCAGTTGTGCCCGCAAGCATTTATCGAACAGCCTGCCTGTAAACCACTTTTTCCCGCAACACACAATGGACAGTGCTGTGAAGCATATTCTCCAAAGCACTATCATATATTTATAGAATATTAATATAGTGTTCTGTCTTTTTATGTATAAACCATTTTTGCCCGCATGCTATGTCTGATTAAGTTACATATTTTTTGATCTATTTGTTAAGAAGACGCAAGTGGTGAATACAAGTCTCCAATCAAGTCTTTTTAACCCAAGCCATGTCCAATAAGGTAAAGGAAGTGCTTGAGTAAACCGGTTTTGCCCGCAAGCCATGTTATATGTCCCAATAATATGCTGCAAAGAGGTTTCCTGGTAGACTTTTTTGGCCCACTAGCCATGTTATATATCCCAATTATATTAATAATATGGCAGAAATGCTTAAGAAAGGCCTTTTCCTAAACCATTTTAGCCTGCAAGGCATGCTATGACAAGTTATATATTTATATATATAGAAGAATATATATAATCATATATAACAAGCTCTATAATATATATATATATATATGTATACAGACTGCTTGCAATCATTGCAACTGGGCTTTGTCATACAAGTGCCGGTTATGCATACTGATGCACATATATATATATATATGCATATATAAACTTGCTATAGTTATGTCTCAGATAATATATATATATATATATATATATATATTATCATATATATATAATTATATATACTACATGCAGATACATATATATATATATATATATAGGCATGCATGTGCTCCTTCTGTACACCAGTATAGAGTGGCTGTGCTTGCACTATATATATATATATGTCGAAATGGCCATTGTTGATATCGATATATACATGTGCCTCCAGGTACCGATGCGGTGGAAGTGTACAAGAGGCAGCGTGCTGCAGCAGGTGCCACCCCTTCCCTTGCTGTTGCATTTCATCTGTGCATGGGTCTGACATGTCGAACTAGCACATGTGCCCGGTAAATTGATAGATTTATGCAACAGAAGAGTCTGTTGTCTGGTTCAGGTTGTACAAAACAACATATGGTAGTGGTTTTACTTGTACATACATCTCGTGACAAGTGAGCCTTGCCCAGTCTTCTGACCAAATGAAGTACATGTCTTATTTGTTTGAATACAGAAACATACATGTAGACACACTCTGTATCAACCAGAAACCCAGCAAGTAGCTGCTGCTTCCTGTTGAAAGTACTGTTGGCACTGGGTGGATTTCATCATCATTAGCTTATGTATACATAGGCTGACCAACAAATGTGTAGATTGGTATAACAGTATACATAGAGTGCTGTATGTGTACATGTATACTGAGTGTCTGAGTGCCATGGTGGTATGGGAAACTGCTTACTTTTTTGTGCTGAAGTCATGTATACATATATATATATACATATGTATCCAGGTCTTGTCTGCTATAGACATTATTCAGGCTTGTCTAAAGATATGTGTATACATATATACACCATGCATTGTGACTCAGTATATGGACATAAACATATATATATATATGTCATATTCAACTGTGATATATCTTCACATGTTCACAATACCGACTGCTGGTGTGCTCCATGTCTGTCATTCGGATGTTCTTGTTGCAGCAAGGTTGGGATGAGATCCATGTGCTGGTATCGCAGGATTTTGGAGCAAGGTTGATTTGGTGCCTATTTCAGCCTGCCCTGTGGAAGCCATGCATCTCCATGGTGGTTCCCGGCAATGGAGTTGTTCAAGTTTGCAGCAGGGTGCTGGGAGGCTTACAGGGCAAAACCCTTCTATTCCCTTGGGGGTTACGCCTGTGAAGGTTTCTGAACTTGCATTATGTGTTGCATGACATGTGATGCTATATGGGGTAGCCCCATCTCCCTGTCCTCCCTGTCCTCCTATCCAAAAGCCAAGGTAAAGATCGCGGAGCAGCCCTTCTGGATCCATGCGGATGTGTTGAGGACCTTCAGCCCCAGGACCCGGTCCATGCTGTCGAATTTGCCAGACACACCACAGTCGAGGGGCATACTGCAGCAGATGTTGCAAGTGCATGGCCACGATCGTCACTTGTCTGCCTGCTTTGCTGTTATCGTCATGATACCACGACATGTGGCAAGTATAACTATAATCTCACATGTGCATATCTACATATATACATAATGTTGATATTTCCATATACTGCAGAGCATGCTGTTTATTGTCCTTCACACACTCTGCAGGTAAGCTGTAGTGTTGTTATGTGTGGGCATGTCGTGTGGGAAGATAGATGTCTCATACTAGAGGTTGGTGTAGGATAGTCCACCAAGTTTACTTCTGTCGGGAATGATACTTGGTGACCTCAAGTCTTCATTCAGGGGGTGGCCAGATAACACGCATCATGTTCTGTTGAAGGTTCATGTTGGGGGGGTACATAAGAAAAGGGTGCATGTGTAAGCAGGCATGCATGCAAACAAACTAGCAGAAAATGTGCTGTCCATCCATGTGATCTAGAAGGGAGTGGATCAGTGATGCATCTATCTGTTCAAGGGTCCCTACATGACATCATCATCGGGGTGCATGGGCTACAGGAGAAGGTGACAAGCAATGTGTACTCACATAGACGAATGGTTCAGGTTTCATGGTGTTGTGCTTGCTACCCTCCAAAGATACATGTATGTGTGTGTATATATATATATATATATATTTGGATTCAACTGCATGCCGGCAGAGCTGTTCGCCTGTTTCATGTGGCTAGCCCTGCAATAAACAACACATATGTATCGACATGTGTTTGTTATGTGTGTGTCTCTATGTATACAAAATGTTGTATGTATCTTTGCTTACCTATAGTACAATAATACCCATGTCTACATTACATGTGTATGTGTATATGTGTATATATATATACACATGTAGACAATTACACACATATATCTGTTTATGTATATATACAAACATATGCACTTGTCGTGGGGTTTCTTGGTGGGCAAGATAAAGGGTGAGGTTCCATAGGGTCTTTCGCTGCCAAACATGATTCTGTGGGGTTCGTTCGTTTAAAAAAAAGAACATGCTGCATGGTTGCAGTGTTCCAGCTAGCCTTCGACATGAGTCCGAATATCATGCAGCAAATGCATGGCCAGTGGTCCAGTCTTCCGAAGCAGAGTACTGTAGAAGAGTTAGATGACATCCATAATCATATATATATATATATATATATATATATATATATACATATAGACACATGCAGATGGGCGAAAACTAGTGGTACTTACATGTGTAAGTGTGTTAGTAAGTATACATAGTATGCATGTTTACATGTCTACAGAACCATGATATATGCACAGTGTCATTTGCATACATGATGGCATCTTGACTTGTGCGCTTGCTGTGTGACATTGAATTGCTTCTCCAGATCTTGGCTCTTTTCAGGTGCTGAGGCAATGGCCCCTTCGTCTCCTGTGAGGCCGAAGATGGAGGCCGATGAGTATGGGCGGCCCCCTCTGCCTCCCCCGCCTTTTCCGATGCCGCCACCTCCGGCTATAGCCACTATAGGTTGGGGTCGGGTGGTTCCACCCCCCATGAAGGTTGCACGACGAGATGTGGCCAGTGAGCAGCTGGAAGAAGCTAAGGCGCTCTTTGCTGCCAGGCGTCAAGCAGTGGCGGCAGACATGGCACCGGGGACACCGGCGAAGAGCCCACCACTCAAGAGGACTCGTGTGGATGGCACCGATGCAGAGGTCCAAGCTGCTGGTGCTGTGCCCAAGTTGCCGGGCTCGGAAGGAATGGTGAAGCAGCAGGCTGCCTTCCCAAATGCTTCGCATGGGGGTGCAGGACGTCCTGCAGTGGCGAGTGATGAAGCCAAGGCTCCTTCAAAACCGCCAGCGAAAGCCCGGCCAATAAAGGCCATGGAACAGCTGCAGCAGAAGAGGGCTGCGGTGAATCCGCAGGTGGTTCATGCAGGACAGCAGCCGCAGGGCCATGGTCCGGAGCCAGTGGTGACCGGAAGGGCTGAATCGGAAAGTGAAGCTCCTGCTGCTGCTGCCTGCCCAGAACAGCCTGGGAATCCACCTGCACCTCCGCAACATGTGCAGCAGATGAGGGCTGCTGTGAATCCTGAGGTGGTTCATGCAGGACAGCAGCTGCAGGGCCATGGAGGTTTGCCACAGGCTTCTGTGGGGCAGGGTCCGAAGACACCGCCGAGAGTGCCTCAGCAGATGCCACAGGCTGGAGCGCAGCAGAGGATGCCACCACCTACAGGGCATCAGCAGATGGCACATGCCGGAGTGCAGCAGCCTATGTCGTTGCCTACAGGGTATCAACAGATGCGGAGGGCAGCATACTATGTCACCGCCTGGGGGGCATCAGCAGATGATGCATGCATCACGGCAGGAAGTTCATGGACCAGCTGCTGTGCCACAGCAGAGTGTTGTGCCCAAGATGCCAGGAAGTAGTGGCAAAGAGGTTCTGGAGCAGCAGCAGCAGCAAGGCATGGACAGGATGCCGCAGAGCCCCAGCATGAGCATGGTGAGCCCACACAGACAGAAGGTGTCTGTGCAAGCCCAGGCCCAAGAGACTCTGAGGATGCAGCAGCCTGGCATGCCGCAGCCTGGCATGCCGCAGCCTGGCATGCAGCAGCCTGGCATGCAGCAAGTGCCCATGCAGCACCCTGGCATGCAGCAACCGCCCATGCAGCACCCTGGCATGCAGCAAGTGCCCATGCAGCACCCTGGCATGCAGCAAGCGCCCATGCAGCAACCACCCATGCAGCAAGCGCCCATGCAGCACCGTGGCATGCAGCAACCGCCCATGCAGCAACCACCCATGCAGCAACCGCCCATGCCGCAATCGCCCATGCAGCAACCGACCATGCAGCAACCGACCATGCAGCTGCCGACCATGCAGCAACCGACCATGCAGGTGCCGACCATGCAGGTGCCGACCATGCCACAGCCGATGATGCAACCACCGGTACTACCGATGCCCACCATGCAGCTGCCGATGCAGAACCCGACCATGCTGCCCCCACACCCGGGTGTGGTGCAGCCTACCCAGCCGGGCTCTCTTGTGCCACCGACAATGTTACCGGGAATGCAGGTGCCTCCAGTGCTGCCCCAACCGACAAGGATGGGTCTTGCGATCGAGGCAGGCTTCTTCTCACTGAAGAACATGTTGGGAGATGCAGCACCAGGCAGTGGCCTGCCACCAAGCATCTTGGATCAGTATATGCATCTGGTGGAGGAGTGTGCGAAGCTCAATGCGAATGCATCGACATCTTCGACAGGCAGCCCGAGTCCGCTGACGAAGCAAGCTCCAGAACAGGTGGAGCAAAGTGTGAGCAGAGACCCAGCTTCGAGTGTCGTGAATGTGGACGAGGCAGAGAAGCAGGTGGACATCCCCACGACATCTCCATCAGAAGACATCTCTGCAGAAGCAGCTCCCGAGAAGGGAGATGTTGAGCAGAAGTGACTCGGCCGAGCTGCTCGAAAACAGTTGTGGACTTGTGCTGCTGACCTTGTACATGTTAGTTTTATGTGCACTCTTAAAACCATGTCATGTCTTGTGTGGTGCAGGACTTCCCACCAGCCGAAGATGAACTCGCAGACGCACCCCGATGCCTGGGGGGCCCTCTACCGCTACTGCAACGGCAGGTCTGCCAAGAACAAAGATGAGGCCGTGCGGAGCGAGATACTCGAGAAGTGGAAGCAAGGTGCACTCGTGTGTGTGTCACTTCGTCAGCCAAGTGCTTGAGATGCAGCATGAAACATGTTAGGTTGACTTGTCTCTTTCCACCCTCCTCTCCAGCTCTCTCTCTCTCTCTCTCTCTCTATATATATATATATACTCATAAATAGCCTGATCCCTATGCTATGTAACATACCCTCCAAAAGGACACATGTTTCCTGCTAAGTCCATGAAACTATACAGTTTCTTATGTCTTGCATGTCTGCTGATGGAATCTATATATATATATATATATATATATATCCATATAGGTGCATGCACTCATAGACATTTCAGTTTTCTCTATCTATTTATCTCCTCTACTAGATAGCGGAGAGAGCGAGAGTAGCAGAGAGATAGCGAGAATCCGCGATAAACGATAGCGCTATAGCGAGAGATAGCTAAGCGTGAGAGTGAGCTCTCTTCTAATATAGCTATCTCTATCTTCTATCTCAATATCTCTAGGCTCTATTTCTCTCTCTCTCTCTCTCTCTCTCTCTCTCTCTCTCTCTCTTTCTTTCTTTTACCCTTTCTCTCTCTCTATCTCTTTTGTCTGATGATATATACATATATGTATATGTATACATATAATTATATCTCACACCCAATGGTCTTCGGAACATATTTATGTATATTTTTCGGTCTGCATGTTATCCTACTCCACCTGTGTGTTTATGCATGTTGTTTCATGGCTCAGGAAAGTTTTGAATGATATCTATATATATATATATATATAAATTATACATGTTTCCATGACTGATGTGGTGTGTTTGTATGCTCATATGTTATACACGTAATAGACATAGTTTTCGACATCCATACATGTGAAGACATAACAATCTATACATGTGCCAGTGTGTGTGCAACTGCTAACTTCCTCAAGTCTTGAGGTGTTGGTGAGTGCATGTGCACCATGTTGCATTTGCATGCTGCTGTGTAACAGCACAATGATTAAACATCAATGTGATATTCTTTCCTATCTGCATATACATAAACTACTTACCACTGTGTGTGTATGCTCTTCTACACGAGAAGGTGTCTTTGTGGAGCTTCTTGCTGACATGTTGAAAGAAGCAGAAATATGAATGTAATATAGAAGAAATATATATATATATATATATATGTATATGTATGCACATATATGTATACATTATATAGATCTATATATCTATATATATATGTATATTACGCATGTGTGTATACCTGCATGGCACTGGCCTGCCTGCACACTACAGAGGATCGGTAGTGGGGTTGTTGCAGGCAGAAGGACTGCATTGGGTCCAAAAGTAAGCAAGTATAGTTTTATGGTATGAGGCTTAATTATGTCTGTCTATGCTCGTCGGATGCAACTAAATGAGACATATGCCCATGTATATGTGTCTGAATATCTACATGTATATATACATACCTATAAAGGCATGTATTGGCCATTGAGCTTTATGGGGCATCCTTGCATACAGGTATTCTGAAAGGGAAGTGGGTGGCTCATGTGCATCCTTGTGCAGGAGGCTATATCAGGCAGAAGCTGCTCAAGGACTTCATCGAGAAATGCTACCAGCCCCACAATTCCACTGGGAATGTTGTCTTTCGTCTGCATTTGCATATGTCTCCCTTCACTGCATCAATCATGGTTTGATTCCTCGGCTGTGCTTCGATTTGAGGCTCGTCTGGAAGCTGTGTTCAAGCTCCGCCAGCTCAGCAAGGACTGGAGGAAATCCCTGAAGGGGTTCGAGTGGTTGACTCCAGCGGAGATGACCGCCCTGGGTTGGCCTGAGTGCCTGGGATTTGCACCAAATGTGTAACCGAGCTGCTGCTTCTGAGAATGGCATGTATGTGTCATCATGTGGTGTGCCTGAATCCTTGGTTGTAATTACTGTGTGTATTAGAAGCATTTATAATTTATTGGCTTTGAGGGACTGTGTGAATGTTTAGGCATGCAGATCTGATTGAAAACGGTTTCATTTATGCTCATGTGGT